CCACGGGAGCCCTAGGGGTACGCAGAGGCACCGGCAGGAGCCCAGAAGGCTGCTTCTGGGCGTTATTAACCTAAAACTACCACTTCCTGTAAGAAGGGAGTAGCGTGCGTTTCCACCCTGGCTGCCGACAGTTTTTGCTTGCGTCACGATGACTCGTTACATTTATGGCCTGTGTTTACCAAAATGACACACCTTCGGAGCCAGGCAGGCTGAGGTCCCCGCCACGGCAGCTCACGCCCAGCCCGGGCTCTGCCCCAGGCTCCCCAGCCCAAGATGCTGCTCAGGAGAGCAATGGGTATTTACATTATTTTCTCAGTCCTTACTATGGTAGGACTAAAATAGGACAGCGTGATATATTTCCCTGAAGATAGGCTTAGTGACTGCTAATTATCACAGCCAGTTAAGCTGTTAGAGTGCTTAATTGTTCTCAGCTAAAAAATAATCTTGCAAATCAGTTGTATTAAACTGAATTTTTGAAGAGAAGCAGCGTTTCCCTTGCCTCAGAATAAATGTGGTTTGGCAGAAGGAAACCAAAGCCAATGTTTGTGGCTATAAATACGGTTGGAGAGTCCATCTCACATCCAGACCACAAACTTCCCTAGCAAAGAAATATATTTCAGATATACTACAGGTTTAAATCAGTAAACTAAGAAATTATGTCAAAAACCTCAGGTGATGAAGTATTTGTCAGTCGGTAAAATTGTCATTGAAACATAGCAGTACCTATAAAGTATTTGCCCTCTTTGAATTCAATCTCCACGAAGTCTGGATAGTGCCAGACGTTTTCCATAACATCAGCTGTTCTAATCAGAGAACGAACCAAAACCAATGCTATTTTATTACTTTGACATTTCTCCTGCGTTTTGCACAAAATTCTCCCTGATGGGTCAGGAAATGTAAATGCAAAATACTTGTCTCATTTGGGGTATTTACTCTCCTTAGACATACAAGGCTCTAAAGCTGATTTACAACGAGGGAAAAAAATTCCATTTGAAAGGGAAGAAGTGGTTGCCGAAAGGAAAATTTTCAGTACTATTTAGTAATACTATCAAATGCAATATTGCAGATAATCAAAGTGTGTCTAGGAGCAAGGGGAGGAACTGCAAGGGAATAGAGCTCAGGATGTTGGCAAGGATGTTCTTTAAGGGCTGAAAGGATGAAAGATGTGAGACAGATGCCGCCCCAGCTACCGGGCTCCTGGCCCTAAGGAAAACTCTACCATTTATAGGGACATTTTATATTTTTTTGAGAATACAAAGTTATTGATACTGAGGAAAGAAGAAATTCACAATGACAAACACAGTTTTTTCTCTTTCATGAAAGCTCCACAATGCATCCAGACATAACACAATGTGTTTAGCTTAATTTGCTTATAATTTGGTAAAGCAAATTAGATCAATTTCCAGATTAGGAACCCATACAGAAAATAAATGGTGGTTTGAGCTTCCAGCTGCAAACAAGCAGAAATCAGTGGATGTGATTAGGCTGGAAGAAGCAGAAGAAAAACCTGGTAAAATCACTGAGGAAATGTGTGTCCTGCTCAGGATTTCCCTGGGGGAAGATGGGCGTGAGGAGGAAAGGTGCATTTATAGCATGAAGTTTACAGGGCTCAGCACCCCTGTGCACCCCCACCGGCCCCCTTCTCCCCTCGCAGTAATGCTGCTGAGTGGAAAGAGGCATCGTGGACCTGGCCGTCCCTTGCTCCCCAGGCCGGCTGGGCAGGAGGGGCTGGGGGGCAGAGGATGGGACGTGCTGCTGCCATGCTCACGTCTTGCTTGGAGCCTCCCAACCCCCCAGGGGCTCTGGCTGTGAGGGCATTTTCTCTTTAACAAGAACTCTCCAAAATGCTTATTGCAAAAGTGACTGTTTTTACATCGTGTCTGATTATGGATTTGAAGAGGAAAAAAGAACATGTTCATTTTATCTCTTTTATTTTATCTCTTAGTTTCTGAAATACGGAGAAAATCACAGGGTGTCCAGGCCTCGGGTCCTTATCCACCTAGGGATTGCCAATTGTACCCTCTAGAAGACACACCAGCTAACAGCTGTATTAATCACATCTGCTGTGAGAAAAAAGCATTTCAGGATTTATTATGCCAGCATTTAAAGTGCAAAGGCACAGAGGTCTTCATGAAGCCAAAATGACAGCTACTTGTTCCTGAATTTTACTTGTTTCTCTGGCACTGTGAATGCTTAATGCCGGGGTAAGTTTTACTGCAGTGCATGAAAGCTAATAAAAAGCAATATACACGACTGCATTAGGAAGCAAGCTTTCCCTGCGCACTGTGGATCTCTCTCTGGCCCAGAGCATATTGAGTCCCTTCCTGAGCAGCAGAGAGATGCAGAATGCTCTGGGACCAAGGTAGTCTTGTGTGCAGCCTGATGCCCTTAATCCTCTTTAGACATGTTTTGTGCCCAGCCCAGTACATGTGCATGCCCCCTGCCCAGGTTACAAAACATCTCCATGAGGCTCATTCCATTCAGTCCCCTCACCAAGCCATCACTTGATACCCATCAGTGACTCATTTGCAGAGTGCAACCATTCATTCATGACCATTAAACTCACAGACAGGGAGTTTACTGTATAGCAGTAAAGAATTAGCAAAACTAGGCTTAAAGCACCATCTTATCCTCCTCCCACATCCTCTGCCAGGAGGAGAGCAGGACCCCAGCTCCTCAGCAAGCCCTGGAGAGTACAGACAACAGCTCACGCACTGACTAGCTGTATGGATGTCCCCCAGGCTTCTTCTGACCCTTGCTCCAAGGGGAGAGCACAGATCTGAAGGTTTTTGAGTTACAAAGGAGCAGGGTAGCTCAGAGAGAGCAGCGGATGGTTCGCAGCTGTGGTGGTGGTGGTGCAGACTCTTGACATTTCTGTTTTCTGTGAGTGAGTGAGTGAGTGATATATGGTTGTAACACTTACTGCACGCTGGTGCCAACACTGAAGCTGGAAAACTAACCGCAAAACCTCACAGGACTCCATCCCAGTTCTGCATCATCTTCACACCCCTTCTGTCACCTCGGACTCTGCTCTTGCAGCTGATTCCGCAGCAAGGACTAGCAGCAGTCATCCTCCCCTCCCTAAAAGTACACAAAAGCCTCTGCAGAACTGCCACTGCAAGGCCACAATATAAAATCCATTGCTCTTTGCTTTCTGTCTGACTTTATACTTCCATTCCCAGTACCTTAGTTCTGATTATTGTCAGCCTATTACAGCAATGAGAAACATGGACTCAGGTTCTCTTCACCTGTTCTTCTTTTCCTGCTTTCAACAGCCACAGGAATGAAAGACTTCATTCCTCCAGAAGCCCCAGGTTCCCACAGATCTCGTTACATCTCCTGATTAATTTTCGTAAGATCGGACATCAAATTTTTTTAGTTACATACACAAAAGAAATCATAGGAGTATTTTCAAAAAAAGAATCAAAAAAAAGTATTCCTCTGTAAAGCTGTTTTCGTGTGCAAAACCAAGTGGCTTACCATCAGACTCTGTTTTGCATGCCGTGCAAAATTTTTACACGAGGGCTGTGATGAGGAGCAGAAGATAATCTTATCTTAAAATTCTTTGCCTTCCCCCCTCTAATTAAATATGTAGCAGAGCTCTGTCTTGTTTCCTAGACGAGATAAACAAGCAATCCTGGATGGGCTGGTGGCTCATGAAATTCTAAGTGAGTCAGGAAATATTCCTCCACGACACTGTGTATTCTCCAGCAGTGCAGTCTAACATGGCAAGAGCAATGAATTGCTTTGAAATCTCTCACTCGCCTGCAGACTCCCAGCCCAAGAGCTCGTCCCTGCTCCCTGGGGTCCCCAGAGAGGAGAGCTTCAGTTCTCTCCAGGAGGTGAGGCACATACTCCCCGTATCAAGAAATCACCTACCCTAAGGAAACTCAAATGCAAATCCCAAGAAACTAAAAGCTCCGTAACAATTTCTCACCACGGGCAAGTCAAATCAAGGGAACGGTCACAGCATCTTACAGCAGAGCCAGACTCGGAGGGTTTGTAAGGAGCTCTGAAAACAAGCACCAGCATGAGGCTTTAATCACTTCAGGACACTCAGATTAATTTTTTTTATAATCTTGAGTCTTATCAGTAAAACAAGGCATCTGCTAAAAGAGAGCAGTGACAATGAAGGGGTCCATCCCTACCTTCTGTGTTAAACTTCAGCTTTGCTTTAAATAAATGAAATCAGGATTCCTCTATCCACTTACTGGAAGGTCCTGCATATTCTACCAATATTGTTCCTATTCCTCCAAATTTGAAAGTATCACTACCATTTGAAAAACCTTGCCTAGCAACCATAAATAAGACACTAAACCACACTACTTTAAAAAAAAACAAACAAAAAACTACACTCATCCAAACCTCCACTAGCTCTGCAAATCTTGCCTAATTTATACCCTATGAGCCTTTTGGCATCAGTCTCTTAATAGGGAAAGGTAATTGATGTAACACACTTGGGATTTTCTACAACAGGAGCAGTCATTTCCCCCAGGTGAAGATCTGAGCTGTTCTCTATGTCTGCTGCTAACACAAGAATGAACAGGATTTGGCTGTGAGCACGCCCAGTTTGAGCA